ACGAAACTTTTCAAGCCCACGTTCATCTAAAAATGTTAATTTTAAATTAATGTTTAATTTGAAGAGAACTTAAAAACTCTACATGAAACACTGTGCTATATTAAGTTTGGCATTGACTAGACTCTGATCGCGTATAGCAATATATTTACATACTATATATTCCCATTTATATATATGTATATAGTTTGCGTGCAATGTTATCAATTTGCAACCATTTATAAAATACTTATATTATAATTGCACGATTATTATATGTTTTCACTCATCAAAAACGGCTTGTTTTTTACAGTCAGCTGTATGACTAAATGAACGGCTTCCAATTGTTAAAATTGTTTCAAAAATTTCTCTGAAATTGTAGCACTGGCATTTGTTTTGCACTTCGAAATTTATTAAACATCTTCACATCCTTTCTTTTTGATCTTGTTTGTGCGCTTTGGCTTTGTTATTGCCCTCCGCTGGCGTATTGTAAACACACGCAAGATTTTTTTATTTTTTATTTTCAAATATTTTTTTGCACGCAATTTATTATTCTGTGACTTCACGCATATACCTATGAACATGAATACATATGCATGTATACATATCTCAGTAAATCTGTGCATTTTGTCATAAAATGTGTTTTGTGGCATTTTTTTTTTGGTTATTTCTTCAAATAAAAATCGGCCTGATCACAGCTCTTAACATACATAAGTTGGCTATTTGTAAGTTCTTGAAATTTATGGGTTGGTTTTATTAATATTATAAATCTGTATTCAAAGTTGTATTCACTTTTGTCGCGTTGTTGTTGTTTTGACAGACGCGCGCACTTCGTTTCGCTTGCCTGTTCGTTTGCCGTTGCGAGTCAAACTGTTTAAATGTTTTGTTCGTTTGCCAATACGTTTCACTCAGCGGTGTTCCATTTCACGTGTGGCGCAGCTGGAGTAGAGCGTTTTTCGTTTGTCGAGTGATTTTCATTTTGTTGCAGCGATTGAGTGAATTTGGGATATGGATGTGTGTTGCGCCTATTGTGTTGGTTGGTGTTAGTTAAAATGGCAATTGATTTTACTATAGAAATGTAATTGTTAGTTTGAGTTAATCCATAGTGTTCACTAATTTGCAGATGGAGAGCCTGTTAAAATGTGAAAGGCAACAATGTGGTTGGAAGAAGGCAGCAACAACTCCAAAATCTGCTCTTAGTCGGCAAACGAAATGATTAAATTATTTAATTTAACATATTGCGTCAAAATGTTCCATTAGCGTTCTCAACAAAGGCCAAGAAGTGCGCAAACGAAACCGGTTAACCAATTTATGCACAAATAAATTCTACATTTTATTAACTAAAATGCATGTTGGTGTTTAAGTCTACTTCAAAAAATAATGAACTTATGAGATTTATACATACATACATATGCACATGTATTTAAGTATGAGTATGTTTGCTGAAAAAGTGAAGATTATGTTGTGCACTAAAGTATGCAACGATTTGTGGAAAACCCACTAAGAAAGAAAAAACCCCGACGGTCGCAACGAAAGCGAATGAGTCAGAACAGAAGAATAATTGTGAAATCAGCCCACAGAGCGCAGATGCAACAAACGCAACGGTTACGAAAAAGACCGCCGAAGAGGAGCACCAAAAACCGGCAACAACAAAAGCGGCCTGGTCGGCAAGTAAACAACAATGGCAAAATAAACCTGTTTACGCAGAAAACGCAAACAATAGAAACGAGAAAAAAACGACAACAACAGCAACGCCATGAACGAACGAGAGCGCACAACGGGCATACATAATTGGGAGGCGGATGCTGATGAGCTCTCTCTTCTGCCTGCCTGCTTGCCTGCACGCTACTTGCCATGGCATGCAAACGAGCTATGAAGGAGTATGGAAACCCAAATGAAGCGAAAAAGCGAAAGGATAGCATAAACAAAGCAAAGGCTCAACGCTAGCTAACGAAACAAGAGGGCAACAAGCTTGAGCTCTTAAATCATTCAGTCCATTGACAAGTAGACGTCGTCGTCGCTATGGCAGCAACTTCACCTGGAGATCTGGACCGTAGCTTCATGCCCATGCCAGGACCGCAATGCGGACGAATGCAGCGAAACGAGACGCGGCGCGGTGCGCCGCGACGTCTAGACGCAAAACTTTAGTGCTTGAGTGCTTTTTGTGATAAGACCATGGTATGAAATGTGCACTGAAGCGTCTGACACTGCAAGCAAAGAGTAAGGGGGAGTAAGGCGTCAAAACGGCAAACTCAAGATAAAATACCGCATAGGACACAATACCAACATCGCCTTCAAATGCCACCAACTGAGTGAGCGGCATTACGAGTGAGTCAAGCAGCTGCTCGATGTCCGAGTAGAAAACCGGAGGCCGGATAAAGTTTTGGACTAGATTGGGAGGGACGGACACACTTCTGTATGTATGTTAACAAATCAAATTATGGTCTGAGAGAAAGTGGTCCGGAGGGGATTGGCTCGTATTTCTTCTTTACATGCATTTGCATAAAAAGCTAATTTAAAACCTCGTCAAAGCAGTGCAAATAAAGCGACCTCCAATGCATCCATCCACCTACACACATTCATATAGTTATATATATCCCGTATATCCTGCACAAATAATGCAGAACTCGCATATCAAATCAGAGTTTTCAGGACGTGAAGGAACACCAATGATGGCCCGTGTCCTGTCCACACAACCATCTTGTTAGTACATCGAAAAAAAGGGGAGAAAAAGGGAAAGCCAAATTAACAGAGAGAAAAACAGCTTGGCAATGCATCGAATGGCACATGCATGTGCACACATACCAGTAAGTGTGTGTGTTTGCACATGGCCAACAAATAAATAGCTCGAGGTTTGAGTTAGAGATGTGTGGAAATTCGTGCGTGATTGTAGAAAGCTGAAAGGTGTGACCCTTAAAAATGACGATTACCACCATTACCCAGCAACTCGTGAAGAGATGATAATTCAAGTTTTCATGTACAAGTAATGTTCACGATTTACGAAAAAAAGTATAACATTTCGAAAATCCACCAAAGGGAATCGTACATCGCCCATAAAAAATGATTATCATTATCTAAACATATTTGGTTATGCGAAATATGAACTTAATATATATTTGCCATTGAAGACAAACTAGTAATACAGTCAAGAAACAGGTATTCCTGCAGCTACTAGAAAGGAGTAGGTTCCGCTACTCCAGAATATTTACTATTTATTTCTGACAAAGAACTGTCAATTTGAAAACATGGAGCCATACAACTTCATCTAATCAAATTTACGGAGCTCTCAGGGCCAAAGAGATGACATATTTTATTGATATTGTTACAAAGAACCCGAAGCGAATTGGGCAAAGCATAGTTGGCGGTAGCGCGATTTAAACCTGAGGGTTTAAAATATCTTGTAGGTCTTTAACTAACAAGCAATGGTACGAAAGCGTGCCTGAACGTAAATTTTCATCAAATTGATTTTTTGCAGGACTGCAACGTTTTATATACGTCATGGTTACCACTGCAACTGCAGACAAAAAGGATCAACCGACCCGTGGTCAACAGAGAGCATGAGAGGTTTTGGAATGGGAGGTCTGTCACATCATTTTCATTGCAATTTTCCGTCCATTTCAAATCTGCTGCGCAAAAGTTGAGCGAAGCACATGGTATCTGCCCACCGCCACACCAATCCATTAAAGTACGGAAACATTCTTGCAGGCTTTTGTGTTGCCATTCGCCTTGCCCACATGCTGTGTCCTGACATTGGCTCGTGTGTGGCACGTGCTCCTGAACTGTGTTTATTAGCTGGAGATAGCCACGAACCGCAGTTCCCACATGCTGTGATAGAGTTATCAAAACTTGGCCAAGCAATGCTTAATTCATGTTAATATATATATATATATATATATATATATATATATATATATATATATATATATGTATGTTTGTATGTACACATGCCTTGTTTGTTAACTATTAGATTTTCTCTTAAGCACAGCAACATGTTGCGGTATCGTCCTCCTTTATACTTAACATCATTAAGTCGTCGGCTTTAATTAAACTTCACCATCAATAACAAACATCTGAGAGCGCTTCTAAGTGTTATTTAGGATGGATATTATTATCTGCTATACATTCTTTATATGTTTGTAGCTTTAAGGAAAAGCTTAAGCTCAGACGTAAAGTTTGCAATTAAACTATTGAATTTTTCAACAAACATAATCGTAGTTTAAAAATGTAATTTTGAGAAGGGTAACCTTTTTTCGCCCTTTTTTATTTTAATTCCATTTTTTGAATAAGTTCAGCTGTTTTGCGACTTGTAATCGAAATCGGTTCTTTTATTCGCTTGTTCAATTAATTCAGTTGCCTATTTATTTTATGAACTTTAACAACTTTCTCATCGCTTTCAATAATTTGTTCAATTTTTCACTTATTTTCTCCACAGAAAGAATAATAGTTGATTAAATAGGATCCAATCGGTTGAATTATTTTTATACCCTTTACACAAAGGGTTGATTATTTAATAATGTTAACTATTTTGCGCCATTAGGTTGCCTTGATTTGTGTTTTCTTGTAATATTTTGTCTAATTAAGATCTAACTACAGTTATTCCGTGCTTTGTGTTCATAATTTAACGATCTTGTCCACCTACAAGTTTCCAACAGAACTCCTTGACTGCTTTTTTTTTGTTTGTTTTTTGAGAACATCTTTGGGAAAACAATTCATTTCGGGTCACATATTCTTCAAAAATGTAGGCCATGGACGGGCAGTTAAACCCTCCTAACTTGTCCCGTTAGCTACATGTTTGGATTTTCATTTATTTTGAACGCGCTTAGAATTTTCGTAATAAAAGTTTATTTCATCATACGGCAAAAGCTATATGCGTGGGATGAATTATGAAAGGAATATAAAATCTTACATTCGCAGAGACAATCAGATTCTGAGTGTATGATTGTCTACCATGTATAGGTTGTATGCTTATATTTTGATATTCATATATTTATTTAAATATTTAGAAAAGAAAACGGTACACTCACCATTGCTAAAATCCACGTCCATATCCTCATCCTGACGTGCGCGTTTCTCATCTGCAATGGCAATTTCTAGTTGGTATCGAATTACAACTTGATTTGTGACATAACTTACTGGCAATAAAATCGCTTGTACGTGGTCGTATTTTACCCATAAATTTACTAATTTTATTGTCATTGTGAGGATTTCGTTTCGCTTGGGGCAGAGGGCCAGGGCAATTCTCTTCCAATATTTTCGAACAGAGGCGGTGAATATTCAATTTACAGTCTGAAAGCACAAAATCAGAGGTTAGGGTAAAACTATGACAATGCTGTGTGGATAGCCGAAAGGTTTACCTGTACAGTGATAACCTTGTGGACTGACACCCCAGATAATGGTCTGACAATGATTGCAGTGCGTCACTTCGTAGTATTGACGTAATACCAATGGATGACCACGTACAGTCATCTGCAAGACGTACAGGAATAATTAGAGAGGGAACTGATTAATAGAATGAGTGGTAGATTTACTTTTCGATTTTTGCCCATTAGACGCGATTTGAAGCTCTTCTCCCGACTCACAAAATGATGAACACGATCCACGATGCTATTGGGATGGGAACGTGTGTTAAAAATGCGATGTATTACAGTGGATAGTGCCGAACAAAGGGCCAGTTTTCGTGGATCTTCTAGTGGCAAGTCTCTTTCGTATTCCTCGCTGTAAATAAAACGCATAATGAGCAACAATTGGGTGAAAGATATGGGATAGATAACTCACATTATTATCTGTAGATTGGGCATCAGATACTTGTCAATGATCAGTTCGCGTTGCTTGTCGCCCTTTGCTTCAGCCAATTTATCATCGGTTGGGCCATAGATGGTTCCCAGGCCTTCCATACGCTTTTGTTGGAATTCACGTAGCTGCTCGCTGATAATGTCCTTCGCGCGTTTTCGGCTACGCAGGAAAACTGTACGCAAAATCTCCACCTTGTCGAATTCAGACTGGAGAACATTGTCAACTTCGCGGGCGAGGGACTCGTCTTGCCGATACCACGAGAGCGGAGCTCGTGGGACCAAAAATGTTGAGTGTATCTCGTAGGCCCATTTGCGCATATCCTTGGAAGTGCCCTCTTTGTATAGCTCAGTAATCAGGTAGAATAGCAGCGGCGCAGGCTCCGAATTAGAGAGCACATAGTTGAGGAAGACGGCAAGGAACACTACATTTTCGACTTCGAGAAGTCGTGTCAGATTATTGAACGGTCCGTTTTCGTCTATGAATGGCTCCTCCTGATCCGAGGAATTCTCATCCTCCATGGAGATGATCTCTTTTTGCGTGTCTATCGATTGGGCCGCCTGTATGCGGCTGGAATGTAGTGACGGAGGCAGCGGTGATGTTGCAGCAGCGCCCAGAGGCGTGAAATGATGTGATTCGACGAATATGCCAGACCCTCCGCTGCAGTTTTCGTTCGGATCCTCAGGTACGGACATGTGCGAGCTGGTCAGGTACGGTGGTGGCGGTGTGCCTGGGGGTGTTATCTCACCATCCTTCTCCACCAGTTCCCACGAACCTGACGTCGTCTTTGTCAAGCGGTCTGTAAAACAGAGTTTTCTATTAGTTGTAGGTACATAAAAACGATTTTAAAATCATACGAATAATGTGGGTTGTGAATTCTCGGAGAACCCGCAGTAAACTGGCGACAAAATCGCAATCTGCTATCTGCTAGCATAGTTATGTAAAAATACCTTATAGCAGTCCACTTGTCCAAAGAGAATATACGGCCCCAGCGCTGCTTCAGTTTATTCACTCAATTGTCAATGCATATCATGTTTCAATACAACCTACCAGGCAGTCATTTGGACCTGGAGAGCCCCAACACTAGTTGCTGATCTCTGAGCTTTACAGCCGACAGACAGACAACGACAACAACCCGCTTTGTTTTCATTTCACGCTTAGTTAGACTTGAAATTATGAGACAGTTTCAAATGGGCTTGGGATTGTTCTGCCCATCTGGCTACTCAGTCTCAGAAAATCGTATAATTCTAAAATTTAAACTATATTTTCAAGTGAAAAGGCAGTTTACTTACCCGGATGTCTTGGGTGCATATTGTCTGGTGAGGAGCCGACACGTCGATGCTTCATTTGACTCAAATGTGGCGTCTGACCCAGTGCCTGTCGAAGTTCCATTATTTTATTTCATTATTTGTTTCGTTCATTTAATGACTTCAAAAATAATTCCACTAATATACGTATGTACATAAAAAGAGCCCAACAGAAGAATCTAAGATATTTGCATGCTTTCTATATATAATTAGGTTCAAGCCCCGAACACAATTTTTAGGATACGAGTATGTGCAGAATAGTTTACAAGTGATCATATTTTTAGTCAAGTATGTCGACTACAAAGCTGGGGTGGTACGTGTATAGGTGCAAGGAATGGTTCCTTTCGGAGGGCCAATGGGAAATCCGTAAATAATACTACAGTATGTACATATAATGTGTGTACAAATAATTTTGAGCTGGGTAGTGGTACGGGGGTAAACTATAGTGCAATGCCAGAAGCTGATTAGAAGGAACAAATATGTGTAAATATTTGAATAAATATGTCTATTTGTTGATTACTGTAGGAGTTAGGTAACAAATAAATTACTCAATTGCCAGACGGGCAAATAATTGCACAGACATTTGTAAAATTGTACAATCAAAACATTCTTCGTGGATTTCAAATATAGTTTTTTACTTTAACAAACTTGTATGTGATTTACTTGTAAAACGTTGACATTCCAGTGCAATTTATTTGCGTGCCTGACCGTCAATCAGTCAATATTAGTAAGTATTAAAAAAGAGTTTAGATTAGCACAATAGGTTACATTAGTTTAGTAGTGCTGGCAATTATTTTTACACAGATACCTTAGTAAAGTGGCAGAAGGATTAGTTACAATAAGCTTTGAAAAAATAACTGCTTTCAGTGCAAATTAGTAAAAAGTAAAGTCTGAAACAAAGAGTCGGAATGATCAAAAGCAAATAATGGAAGTACTGGTGCAGCTGATAGGCGAACTTGGAGGTGATTTGGTGAGGGGGGTACCATTGAAGGCAACAAGGAAATGGCCATAAGGAAGGCGACTGATTGAATGTGTGCGAGAGATCTATGAGTAACTTACGGCTGTGGGTACACCGCCAAGCTGTTGTTGTTGTTGTTGGTGTTGCTGATGCTGCTGCAATTGTTGCACGATATTAGGTCTTTGCGATAGGGGAAACGCAGCAGCCATATTATCGTTTTGCACCGCCGTGCACGTTGATACCAATGGATAGTTAAAAACCGTGCCTATCGAATTGGGTGGCGCCCGACCACCGCTGAGATTTTGACAGCTGCCGCGATTTAGCTCCTCCACCAGCATGCCCGGCTGTCGCGGCGGCAGTGGCGGTGGCACACAGTCCAAGCCAGTGCTAAAACCCCCCGCGGCAGCCGCACCGCCCGCTCCTGCCCCACTCACCGTCTCCATTTGTAGGAACATTTGCGTGGACATTTTGGGATCGGATAGGGCTTTTGTTTTAGTTTTCGAACGTTTCGATTTGGCGTTGCTCGGACTGTTGTTGTTGGTATTGTTGCCGCTACCATTAGCAGCGATGGGGGAGGCGTTGCGCTGTGGACTGCTAGCACGATCCAAATCGGATATGGGAGCAAACAGATGGCTGCTGTTGGGCGAGCCGTTGCCATTGCTCAGATCCAGAGCCAGCTGGCGTGGCGGATTTCTCTGCGGCAATGGCGGTGGAATGTCCTCTTCGATCAGACTCTTTGAGATCGTAAACTTGCTCTTACTCTTAGAGGCTGCCGCCGATTTGGGAGTCTCCTTGAAGCGCTGCTGCAGTTGCTGTTGTTGTTGGTAATAATATGGCTGTGGCGAGTTACGCTGTTGTTGCTGCTGCTGCTGCTGCATGCTTGGTGTGCTCGTATGTTGGTGCAGCGACTGCGACATGGCATTGAATGCATCCGGCGTGGTTACCACAGTAGCATGTTGCTGCTGATGCTGCTGCTGCCGTTGATGATGCAAAAAGTCCGTGGTATTGTTTAGTGGTGAGGTTATGAACTCTTTCTCTATTTTATTCTTGCGCGTGCCCAACGAAAGCGACGAGAGCGAACGCGGCAATAGTGAGAGGAATGCGGGTGAGGAGTGTGCTGGTTGCGGTTGTGGTGTGCTGGCCTGTTGCTGATGATGATTGTTGTTGTTGTTGTTGTGGATGTGGTGGTGTTGTTGTTGGTGATGTAGTTGTTGTTGATAATGAGTGGTATTGGTGTTGGAGGTGGTTGTGTTGGCGGACGCAGACAAGTGCTGAATTTGATTGGGCGTTAGCATTGCGTTGTTTTTATTGTTCGCAGTCGGATGGTACTTGATAATCGGTGCATCCTGTGGTCACAAGTCAGGTGCCGAATGGCAAGTGACAGTTCAAAGATGCGAGAATAGAGAGAGACAGGTAGGTTGTGAGCATATTTATAGATGAGTACTGTAAATTGGATGTTGTCTTCACCGAGAATTTTACCAAAATTGCTTCGCTGTATCTTAATCTGATTTGATCCGATCCGATCTGTTATGATCTAATCCGTTTCGAATGGTTGCTTAATCGTTAGTTGAACTTTAGAGTATTGTTAGGGTGTTGTTTTTTGGTTTTGTTTTTAATTTTCGGCATTAAATTCGGTGCGTGTTATGCAAATGAACAGCGAAACATATTTGAGTGGACCCTTTGGACAGGCATTGGTTAGTTGGCACGCATTTGCATGGGAATGGGCCTCGCACTTTATTGGCATAAGGGGCTTGTATTTAAAACAAGGGGGCAATGTTCTAGCACGGTGGGAATTTGTTTGTGTGTGTATAAAACAGTGTAGGAGATATGTGTGTAATTATGAGCACAACACACAAGACAGGCACACAAGCATAGATTGAAATTGGTATTGCTCATAATATTGGATATATATACGATCTGTATACATATAGTATGTATGCTATAAAGAACATATACATATATGAGAGGGCGGCAAAGAGACAAGACAATATCCATTTTTTATAATAGTTGTGGAGAAGTGGCATTAGCTAGTATATGTATATCGTATAAAATGTGGCCAATTCTATAAACAGGTGGGCTGGGAACACTATACGATATATATAGAAGGATGTGAAGAGACATATAAATGGCTATCCAGATACCCACCTCAGCGCCCACCTGCCGCAACTGGTCGCGCAATGTGCGTATATTGGCCTCGGAAAGCTTATAGCTAGGATTATTCGTATCGCCTTTGAGACGCTCCAGATTTAGTTTCTCCTGCTCCAACATTTTCTGCAACGTTTGGATTTTGTACGTTTCCATTTCACGACGCTTTATACTCTGCAAAAAAATAATGTTATAAGGAGTTGCGAAAGTATGAAGGGATTAAATGCTTACATCAACTGGCTGAGGACCTGTGATGGATGCTGTACGATCGCGTCCGGATAATACAGGGGTGGATGGCACTATGCCTACTGAACTCGGTCGCGATATCTTATGACTTCGTTTTACAGCCAGCTCGACAACAGTGGATGCTGTAAGTGAAGATAATGATCAGTTTTTTAGACTATGACTAAAATGTCACGAAATTAAGTTAAAAATTTTCAAGTATTGCTTTTGCGAAAGCTTCGGGCGAGAACATTCCATCCAAATGCAACAATGTTCTCGATTATTATAAAGCTGGTCTTACTTGCCGGCACTGTCTGTGCAATTAAGGAGTTTGGCTTCTGGGAAAGCAATGAACAACCTAGGCAAGCTAAAGTCGAAGCTATGAACAATGTTAGGTCTGATGACGACGAAGACAAGCCTGCACTCTCAAAAATTATGCTTGATGATGATGATAAAAGGGAGCTGAAGCGCAAGGCAGACGACTTGAGACGAAAATTTTGCACAAAGGGGGGCATTTGTGAGCCGCCTCCACCTAAAAAATGGGATGAGGCCTTCGACGATGCATGGAAAGACACTTATAGCGCTCTCAAGAAGCTGCCAGATATATGGAGTCGTTTTGCACGCGACATTCAGGAGAGCATCTGTGAATTTTTCAAGGGGAAAGAAAAGTAGGCCGTCAGCCAACAGAAATCGAAAAATTTCTAAAAAATAAAAATAAAGCATACCTTCAGAGCTTCTATCGAAATGTTCTTTTAAAATTAGGCTGCCGCCCATGTGTATAGAATCTTGCCATGATCGTACTGGTAATTAAACTAGCCCTGGTCGCTGGCACTTTCTATATAACGAAAGAGATGGGCGTTTGGTCCAATCCTGACAGAACTAGCATGTTATACGAAGATGCCAAGTGTCAGCTAAAGCCCTATACAGATAATCTGATGCGAAGGTATTGTTGCTGGGATTGCGAGCCTTGCATTGAGAAGGAACCCAAGCCATGGCGCGAGTCTTGGGTAGATGCTTGGAACGATACCATTAGGAAGTGCTTTGATGCCCTCGAGCGTACACCCCACTATTGTCAACGGTTCACCGACGACGTGCAAAGGACCATTGACAATTTGATTCACGGCGATACAAAAGAGTAGGCGCGGCAGAGGTGTCAAAATTCTAGTATATTTTCGATTTTTCACACGAGAGCCCCGCAGAAAATGTCGGTCTAAATTTTTACCAATCAATTAAACAGTCAATCCGTTTAAGCCAACACATTCATTTAATAAAGACATAATACATAGGTTCAATGATGGCGCTTAGGTTCCTCAAACGCTTGGGCCTATTGACCGGCGTTATGCTCTTTACTTCACGACTGGGCTTTTGGCACGAAACAAACAAAAATTCCGACCAACTGAAACCGATCGACATACTGGACATACCGATTGTTGATTGTGGCTATCTGACGCAGAACTATAATCACGCGTTTCTACGCGGCTTCTACTTCATGCATCGTTTGCCCGACTGGACGGCCAGCTTTCTTGAGCACACTGGCGCCATTCTGGACGTTTGTGCCGAGGAGCGACATGGGATCGCTGATGGCAGGTCACATTCTCAGTTTAACAGCGATAGCTTGCCACTTGGTTATGGGTATGAGAATGCCTGCAATCCCATGCGGCATTCACCCACCAATGATCCACCTAGTCGCCCAATAAGGCCCCCAAAGATCAAGGATGACATCACATGTGGAAAACGTGCACCGTCCAGTCTAACCAGTCAAGAATAATCTATCAACCGTCCAGTTTAACCAGTCAAGAATAATCTATCAAAATTAAGAGTAAATAATAGTTTGAAATTGCAAAACTCGTTCTCTTTAATAATTGCGACTGTCCCAACGCTTACCCTTTACAATGGTTCTGTATTTTGTGGTTCGTGTGGGGGTAGTTGCCGGCTTAGTCATGGCCTCACGAAACTATGGCATATGGGGTTCGCAAGAGCGCACGAAAGAAATCTACGAAGATGTGGCAGAGCGAACCGAGCCCCTTGTGGAGAGCTTGCGACTGCGACTCGGCATTGACCCACCACCGCCACCACCGGAAGGCGAGTGGAGATTTCTGGGAGTTTTCTTCTACAATCAGACAGTGCTCACATTTTTTGAGTTTCTGTACATGGTCCCCACTTATATGCTCTATGGTTTGGAACGTGTTCCAGGCTATGTACAGAAGTTGGTCGCATACGCAAGAGAGCGCTATGAGCAGATGAAAAAGGAGCGGGAAAAAGAGGCTTGCAAACGATGTATCGATGAGCGTAGATTGGTTGACCCTCATGGTTCCCAATCTGGCACCTGCAAGCGGCCGGATTCGCAAAGACCGCCAGGTTTAATACCAAAAGATGCACCTCCATCGCCGTACAACGGAAAGGCGCCAAGTCGACCAAGATTCCCGGACGATGATATCTACAAGCCTCGACTAGCACCAAAATGTAAATGTCCCAAATGCAATCAGAGAGAAGCGGATGGGTGGTCCGATCAAAAACCGAAGTGTAGAAATCGGCCAGAGCCCGAGCCGAAGCCGAAGAATAAATCTGAAAAACAGTGCAAAATTTGTCCCAAACTAGAAGAGGAGCCGAAGAAGCCGAAGAAATGCAAAATATGTGAAGAGAAGGAGATTGAAAAGTCAAAATCGGGCCCTAAGGCACCAGTGCAGGAAGGTTGTCCATAGCGAAAGAAGGCTGAGGAGTGTTCAGACTATAGCCAAGCTAAGTGGGCTTAGTAGCTCTCGTGCCTCTCTAGACAATCAAGTGGCGGGGTGTCTGGGGCAATGAAGTGGGCACCCAACACATCGAGGGTGTTGTCAGACTGCTGTCCGACTGAGGGTTGAACACCATTTGGCTAATAAAAATACATTGCAACATTTCAAGCTAAAAAACAAAGCAGAGCGTGTAATTTCATTGCTCCCTGGGTTTTGTCCTATGAGGGTTTCCCGCTAATTTAATTAGTAAATATTTTGATGGCAATTAAAGTTTGGCCAACAACATGTAATTAATGGGGAATGCACGCGACGGCTTGCATTGATTATTCATCACTCGCAAATACGCACCTTTAATCAAACTGACCACAGTGGGATGCTTTTCCAGGCGCACTTCTTGACCATTCACCTGGAAAATTGAATAATTGTATTAACAAATTGTGATTGGAAATTAAGGTATTTTTATTAGAGAATAGTTCACACCTTTAGAATCATATCGCCAGCTACCAGACCAGCGATTTGAGCGGCTCCGCCAGGCTTTACGCTCTCCACAAAAACTGGATTGTCACCGGAGACCTGTAAATGGAAAACGAGGCATTTAATACTGATGAGTCATACCCGGCCGCATTGAATCGTAAATATATAACATATTTGTGCAAAGTAATTTGTATTCAAATTTGTTGCTGGCAACAACTACAACAATAACTCGTCAGAGGCCCCTATGAGGCCAGAACTATAAGTCCATTTCAACACATCTTTCACTTCGTTCGTTTATTTAGTTTGAGTGCACGGGGCAGAGACCGTGCAAAAATCTATAAATTATTCTTATTAGCGGGCCACAACAAAATTTCTCTTGGATAAATGCCAATAGTTGAATTTATACCTATATACTATATGTGTACATTTTGAGCTTTACAAAATAATGAAATACGTTTTAGCAAATGTTTAACCATAAATTCTATCATCAACGGTTAAATCATCTAAATTGTTTTTATATTTTATTTTTTAAAGCTATATTTTGGTAATTAGGGTCAAGAATGGCGATTGAGTACTACTTCTATATAAGATGCATTAAAGGCGACCAATTTTTGCATTGGATTACCATTTTAATTGTAGGCCAATAGCACAGTACGAATATAGGTTATGTTTAAAATACATTGTCTTAGTATCCTAAAGGATCCTGCAATATCCTTCATCTAATACTAAATAATTATCAAATACGCATAGTATAAAAGAATAGATCTGTTGAAATACCAGCCTTACTTAGCAAAACTTTATTCTCCTTACTGAGTATTTGTGGCATTAGTTACAATCTCTCCATTACCTTTAATATATTTATCGTATACGATAGTGTTACTATATTATTAAAAAGATTGTAATTTGAATTGATTTTTGAATAACTGAAATCTATAAATGTTCCGCAATTAAAAGTGAAAATAAGTTGATTTTCAATTTTATGTTAAAGTAATTTTTTACAACATTATAGCCTGTACCCAAAGGGTATACTAGTTTTGTGCGAATGTATGTAACACACAGCAGGAGGCGTGGCAGATTCTTGATCAGGGTGACAAGCCGAGTCGAAATAGCCATGTCCGTCCGTCCGTCTGTCTGTATGAGCGCAAGGATCTAAGGAAGTACAAGAGCTAGAATAACCAAACTTGGTCGAGTTTATTTTTTTTATTCTGATACACCCCCCACTCCCCCGCAATTCCTATTTTTTTTTTTATAATAATTCTTGAAATCATTTTTGGTAGTTACATCCAGTTAGTGCTAATTAATTAATTCAATTTTTATAATAACAGTAAGTACAGGCTATTTTACTGTCGGGCTTGCTCGACTGTAGCGTTCTGTCTTGTTTTATATTTCCATATATTTCAAATAAAATATTCTACAGTCTTATATCAATGATGCTCTGTAATATAGCTGACAATTACAACTTTGTAGAATATATAGGTTGTTTAGGTTTTTTCTTTATTTGTACTATCTATATGTACTGAAGAAATTTTTCAGAAATGAAATCGAGTATAGCAACAGAAACAATCTAATATATGTATTCATGCAGGTTTTGATAGCTTATTAGCCTAATATGTATATGTATGTATAAAAACAAGAGAGAACGCTACAGTCGAGCAAGACCGACAGTGTAATACCCTGTACCCAGGTAAAATTCCGTCACTGAGTTATATGCGCCCAAAGCAGCAGCAAAAAGAGGAAGAAGAAGAGCGAACTTGTTGCTGCAGCTTGGGGGGTTGCACTGGAGAGAATTTGTTTCGCTAATAACTTTTCTTAGAAGTGACCGAATTGAATAAAATTTTGAACAACAGTATATGTAAATTATGTGTGCAAAGTTTGGTTTATGTAGCACTTGAAATGTGAACGCTATTGACGAAATTCTGTAGCGGGGGAAGGGGGGGAAAATTAAAAAAAATAAAATAAACTCGTCCTTACTCGGACCTAGGAGAATCTGGATGCCAACTTTGGTTATTCTAGCTTTCATAGTTTCTGAGATCCTTGCGTTCATCCAGACGGACAGACGGACGGACATGTCTAGATCGATTTCTCTCGTCATGCTGATTCAGAATATATATACTTTATAGGGTCGGAGATGCATCCTTCTGCATGTTACATACTTTGCACAAACCTAATATACCCTTTTTACCCTACGGGTACAGGGTATAATAAAGTTCTGAAACTAGGATATTTGCGTTTTCAAAAACAAGCATACTCTAGAAGGTAAAAACCATGATTCTTGTATTATTATATCAACCGGGAAAATTCATTTGTGCTTTAGATGTTGCAGTTCCAGGATTCAATTGCTTGTTGCCATATTTTAGCGTCAACACGTATCTCATGCGAGTACATACATATGTAAGTATGAGTGAGGTGTTAAAGATATCAACGATTTATAATATGTATGTGTGGAAAACGTCTCCACAAGAAATAACAATTTATGTCAGCAGATAGAGACAGAGAGAGAGAGAGAGAGAGACGCTGAGTCAAAATATAAAGTTCAACTATACACACGTACATACAAGTATATGTGTGATAATAACTTGGAATATATTCATACTATACATACATACATACATAGATCAGAGTAGTCACTGTATTTGTTGTGCACAGAGAGACACAAGTTTGTCGTCGTTGGCTTTGTGCAAATTAATATGAAGTCATCGTGATCAGCACGAGCAACAGCCTCACGTTAACAAAATGCTTGCCAGGCTGCAAACGCTTTCTCATGTGTGTATGTTTGTCTGTATAGTATGTATGCTCTGTGTGTATGTATGTATGTAGCTCCACTACAACAAGGTGCTCGAAAAGCATTACCTGTGCCCCCTATGTTGCCGAGCCTGCGTCATTTGCATTTCAACATCAAATTGCCGCTAACGTTTTGTCATCTGGACCTTGTCAACGCCAGACACATAAGAGAGGGAAAGGGGCAGACTGGCAGACTCAATGCTGCCGATAGTTAGAGACAAGTCGCGCCGTTGTCGCGCGCTTATCTCATTTCGCTAATTTTTACATCTTGGTCACACGAACTTACACAAACACACCAAATAGACAGCTAAAGAAGTGTGCGTTTCTCGCTCTCTTGACTCACGCTTTTTCTTAATCGTTTCGCATTTATGAGGTAATTATTTTCTTTTTTATGTTAAAACTTTTACTATTTCGCCTAAGTTATTTAAACTTTGCGCACGTTTCTTTTTACGTCGGTTGCTTGGTTAGCTCTAGACAATCGACCAAAATGCCAAATCGGCTACTGATTATGGGATTTACTGGTCCGATTTTGATTTCTAGTTAATAACGCTGCGACATGTTCTCAACCTCAGGACTATATATGTGAATACGTATGTGGTAGATAATAAACAAATCAACCTAATTATACCCTGTACCCGTAGGGTAAAAAGGGTATATTAGATTTGTGCAAAGTTTGTAATATACAGAAGGAAGCATCTCCGACCCCATAAAGTATGTATATATATTCTAAATAAGCATGACGAGAGAAATCGATATAGAGATGTCCGTCCGTCCGTCTGGATGAACGCAAGGATCTCAGAAACTATGTATAAAAGCTGGAACAACTCAGATTCTCCTAGGTCCGAGAAAGGACGAGTTTATTTTTTTTTTTTACTTTCCCCCCCTTCCCCCGCTACAAAATTTCAATAGCGTCAATAGCGTCCACATTTGAAATGATACCTAAACCAAACTTTGCACACGTAATCTATACTAATATTATAAAAAGGAAAGATTTGATTGTTTGTTTGAATTGAAAAGGCACCGAATCTACTTTACCGATTTAATGGATTCCTTCACTGTTGGGAACATTATTGGCGGTTAACATGGGCCATATTATATTTGCACAAAAGAATGGAATCCTTACAAAAACACCAATAATGTAACCAAATGTGTAAAAAAATTACCTACGAAAACTCCTAACAGCATGCTAAGTTCATAATCATCCTCGAAACATTGCCACTTTAAATATTAAGGCAATATTATTCAAAAGCCCCCAGCCAAATAAAAGATTACAAGTTGATCGACACCGTGATTGATATTGAAGACATTTAAATTCACTAAGCCCTTCTGGACTGCCGCCACATGAATTGACGGTAAAATTCGGAATTGCAATTATGCTTTTGTGAAATTAAAACCTTCCAAGCATGTGCAATGGGACGAGGCTAATTATTAAGGAATTGCAGGACAATTTAAGTGTAGCTACTATTATCAACGGCCCAGCAACTGGTCAACTAGCTCATATAACGAGGATACCGATGATCCCATTTGATCATTTACATGGATTCAATTTCCGGTAGTCCCAAGGCAAAGCCTGCGAATTAGTAGGGATCGACATACGAACGCAATGTTTTATTTCGGGACACCCGACTTTAGCTTTTTTGCTTGTTTTTTTTGTGGGATGGTACAGGGTATTTAAGAGTTGAGCCTGGTCGACTTTAGCATTCCTTTCTTGTTTGTATAATGGGTCCAAAACTTCAATAAAAACCCACTTTTAAAACGGTCACTGGGAAAGAAAGATTTCAGAAATGGTGAACATTAATACGCCTACTATAAAAAAATATTTCAATGTTCTTTTTGCGAGAATTGTATGGGAAATAAGGGCAGAAAGACCCCAACCTCGATTATCATAGAGTAATAGGCAATAAGCGTTACGAGTTTTATGAAACGCATTCCTGCAAAAACAGGAACATTTATGACAAATTTCGTAATTACCATTTATTTATAGTTTAACGAAATGATTACTTCATTTTTCTAATTTAAAAAAAAATCATTTTTGAGAAAAGAATATTAGCCGGTCTAATCAGTATCTCGAATTTATATGCTATTAATTTAGAACATATTTACTATATATATTTATACATAATGTGCGACGAACTCTTCAGGCAAAAGAAAATCACATTTTCAGTATAGTATGACAAATTTTAAACTTGTGGCTTAATTTTAGTTTGGCTATAAGTGTTGTTGCTATTATGTTAGCACACACGCTTCTGCGAACAGTTTTTCGAGTTTTTATCTCCATTGGAATGCACATACACAACCTATTTACACATATATATATAGTATATATACTAGTGTATGTACATATGTAAGGCACATGCAACTCTTGACAACTGCTAGTCCGTACGTGACAATGTCGCAAAAATGGCCCTTACTTTTGCTTTTGCACCCCGCTTGACTGCAATGATGATAATGTTGTTGTTGTTGATGATGATGACGATTTTGATGTAATGCCTGAGTTTTTACTTTTTAATTGGAATCATGTATGTAATTGGAAGATTTCGATTCGCTTTCTAGAAGTCGTTGCATTGGCAATCAAGAAGGGGATTGACTTACCTTCATGCCGTAGCCAATCTCATCCTTGCGCACAGTCAACGTTAAATACTGAAAGTTTTTTGGTGATGCTGAGTTCGGTGTCGTCGGCGTTGTTGCCTGAGCTTCCGCAATTGACGATATTTGGATTTGAGGACGACGCGTGGCTGCCGAGGCAGAGGATGCGCTCGTCGACAAATTGAGGCTGCCACGTTGGGCGACACCTCCTCCGCTAATATTAGAGGGATTCAATTGCACCCCTCCACCCATTATAGTGCTGTTGATGCTGTTGTTGTTGGCATTATTAAATCCTGTTGGCGATGTGGGTGTAGCCGCTGGCGTTGCTCCGCCACCATTCATGTGCTTCGCTTTATTCTGCTGCTGATAGCTCGCTGGCAATGGCGGAGTTTGCGGTGGCACGTTGTTGTTGGTGTTGTGGTTACCACTGATGCTGCTCGCCAGGCAACTCAAGCTGCTGGCTAGCGATGGAGAGCGCGGAATTTTCGATTTATTGGCCGACTTTAGCTTCTGCTTGTTTTTGGAATTCTTTACAGATTTTTGCTTGGGCGGTGGCAACTCTGGTGGCAACTCTGCGTCTGCGGCCGCTGCTGTTGAGCCGCCCACGGCTGCGATTGTGGCTCCTGCTCCCTCGCCAGTGCTGTGGCTGTCAGCGTTATGTTGATTGCTTGATTCCTCTGGTAGCTCCTGAACCTCATCGTACTCATGTTCATCGGTACCGAAATCAATCAAACTGCAAGATATAAGTAAAATAAACAACAGTTAGAAAGTTATGCAGAAAATGTTGAAAAAATTGTATAAAGTGATTATTCCAGGGACACAAATAGCATGTGTATTTTAATCTATTTTTGTGTACATGGATCGTTAAATTTTATTTACACATTTGCCTTTGTACGAGAATGTCTCAATAAAGTTTTATGTCTTTTCGTGCGGCCAGCAAATAGCTGACATTTTCAAAATACATTTTAATTTTGCATATTTTACGATGAAAAATAGCTGTACAACTTTTTAAACGCACCAACACTTTCAAAGTATTACAATTGTTGAAATCCGCTCTTAAACATTTTTAATTTCCTGAGCTGTTAATTTCTGTAATTTTTATGATGGATTGGAAAATCGTATTTACCAGTATCAATCAACAAATATATTGAATACGATTGATTCAGTTAGAGATTAAGTTGGGGATCGTTTGTAAGTACTTTTATTCCTAACTTAACAATGTCGATAAATAAAAATTAAAAAAACAATCTATTTGATTGATAAATAATGTGGTTTGATATCAATAATTGAAATAAAAGCAAGTGAGAGTAGTGTGGTTTTTTTTTTTACCTTAAAATATTAGAAGAGAATCAGAGTCCTATTTATATATATTCTCTGTACCCGAACGGCGCAAGGGTATAACAAGTTATAACGCCAAATGTATGTAACAGGATGGCTCCATGATATAGATGACGAGATTAACCGATATAAAACAAGAAAGGAATTCTAAAGTCGAGCAGGCTCAACTCTTAAATAATGTACCTGTACCACCCCACAAAAAAGGATATAAATTAATTAATTAATTTAATTTAATTAGTTAGCTAAAACAAACTGCAGCACTGCCGGCAGCGCTGCCCGCAGCTGTTGTTGTTGCTGCTTTGGTTCAACTTTGTGCTGCATACATACACGCATAGGTACGTGATGTAAATGTATGCTGTTAAAACTGAACATAAACATGTATTCTAATTTAATTTAATTAATTAATTAATTTATTCATTTTTTTAATAATTTAATTTTTTTTTAATTTTTCTTTTTTGTGGAGAGTACAGGCTATTTTACTGTCGGGCTTGCTCGACTGTAGCGTTCTATCTTGTTCTTTGTTCGTCTTGTGCATCTTTCGAATTAATGTATATATGTGGTACTTATATCGATATCAGATGAATAAAGAACCATATACTAAGTAAGCGTAACCTTTGATTTTATTTTGGTTTCTGAGGCGATCTGTTAAACTCTCATGCCTGAACTATGAGCTCATCGATGAATAACGAAGTATATGAAGAAGCGAATACAAACGAGCGTTAATCAAAGCCCCTCAACCATACGCCAAAGTCATTTGACAATCGAGCCGCGTCGATAAGAGTCAGTCGCACACTTTATGATAAGAAGAGAATTGACACAAAGAATTTTTGCGATAGCTGTTAAAAAGAAATATGTGACAAATAGTGATCAGTTAAGAGACTTGGGTACCATTCTTGTACCGAAATATTTGTGCTGAAAACCAACTGTCAACAACAATGAAGCTAATTGCAGCTCATTAAAATTGACATCGACAACGGCCATGGCATTGGCATTTGCATTCTCAAGGTTGGCCAATTATGAGAGGAGAAAGCAAGTAATTTCCATCAATTTGTCAGAGGGCATGTGTAAACGATGAAAAGATGAAATTTCCATGCGGATTTTCCCAGCCTATTAAAAACTAAAAAATACAAACCCAACTAGCGCACTAAAATTCAAAATAACTTGATGAACACGCTGATGACGATAATGATGGGACGATGATGTAATGATCAACTACGCTTCCCGATTGTTAAGCCTGTGGGCGCGGTCATACTGGGGTGGCCTGGTGTTGGCACATTGGCAAGGTCTAGCTATCAAACAAAGCGCAGTTAGACAGCCAGTCGGAGCGACGATTGACACAGCCCCGACCGAATGTCTCGCCAAACAACAGCGACAACTTTTAGATCTTTTTAATTGAGCGCAAATTAAATTAGCCATAAAATAGACACAATTTAATTGACATGCTCTTGTTGTTGTTTGTTGATATGGAATGCTTGTTTCATGAATGAAGAGGAACGGGTGGCCGAAGGCAAACCACAAAAAGGGAACTCAACTTTATTATGCCGCCTGAGTATGGAAATGTTGACATTTTTGTGCATCAAATAAACACTAAGTTTTGAACTTAAAACTTTGAAATGAATTCCATACGTTTTTTCCAATTTAGTATTAAATTAATTGAAAACAAGAGAGAACGCTACAGTCGACAGTGAAAAATCCTCTACCCAAATAAACCTTCGCATGCTAAGTTTCGTCAAATCCAGGCGTTCATCCAGACAGACGGATAGATGGAAATGATCGATTTCTCTCGTCATATGCTGATTAAAAATATTCACCAAGTTTGATTATTCTTGCTCTTATACTTTCTGAGATCTTTGCGTTCGTACAGACAGACAGACGGACAGACGGTCAGACGGACATGGCTATATGGACTCGGCTTGTCATACTTATACTTTGTGGGGTCTGCCACGTCTCTTTCTGTGTCTTCCATGTACACTCGCACAAAACTAATATACCCTTTGGGTACAGGGTATAATGACAGGAACTCTGAATAAATTAAACCATTAAATAGTTTAACCATAAAAAACTTCAAAAAATATTCGCATGTGCCTGCAGCTTGAAGTCAAAAGACCAAGTTTAAGAGAGAGTTGGAAAAAATACTTTTTCCTTATAAGGGGTGCTAAAAAAAAAGCTTTAGAGCCACTAAACAATCGCAAAACCTTTGTTTGTCATGTTTAATATGAAAACGGCACAGATTAAAAATGCTGCCAAATGGATCTCAAAAACTATTGAATTTTTAATGAGCTAAGTCTGTTAAGGTTTAATATTTAACACATGAAGTACATTATTGCTAATTTTGAACATTTTTTGACTTTACAAACAGAGCAAATATGAGCAGTAAAATTATTAATTGTTGTGCTTTGGTTGAAATCTAGAAACGTTAGCCCATATTTTGTATGGAGCCCATGTCGCGTTCAACACTATTTGGATCACACGACGTTTTCTAGGAACACTAAAAACTATAATAACGAAGAAAAACTGTTACAGTCCAGCTTAGCACTATATTCGTAGACAGTATTGGGGAAAATTTGTAGAGCGGGAAGGGATCGAGAAAAAAAGGGGTCGTACTATCTACAGATCAGGAAAATCAACATAGCAACTATTCAGCTGCTAGAATACAGGGTTGGAATAAGTATAAGTATTTTACGGATATTCTAGAACTCAATCATATCTATGATTTTGGATTGTCACCAAGACGAAAGAATTTTTTTGACACGAGTCGTGTTAAAGCATTAACGCACCAAAAACAAATCAGCAGCTCGAATTTTCACTTTCAGTTTTCTTCTTCTTTGACTGCAAACTGAGCTACCATAAAAAGAATTCAATGGCGAGCAAAGAAATGCCATATAAACCTGTTGGTGGCCATAAGCCAAAGTAGTAAGCAAAGAAACTCAGTCAGAAACAATAATAATAATAATAACAACAACAAAGACTGGCAGTAGCCACCACAGCAATGGGCAGAGGCACATTTCGAATGCAGCGCCAGCTGACACAGTTAAGCCATGAAAAACACACACACGCACGCACACTGTAACACATCTGTTCGAGCAGCATGATTTTCTATGTATTTATGTTAACAAGTTTGTTCCCAAGAAATGTTTTAAAGCGCCAACAAGCAGGAACAATAACAACAACGGAGACGACTGTCAAAGAAGCGGAAAACCGTGGACTGCGCACGCGCTGAAGGCGTCCAAGACTCGACCACGACAAGCACACCAAGCAACCACAGCCCACCAAAAGCAAAAACCGTTTCCAATGCTTATAAGCGCATGCGCACTCCCCAGTGTTGACTGCATTGCGATTAACAGAATCAACAACGACGACCACAGACATATTCCATGAAAAAAAAAACTACAACAAACTTTAAGTAAAATGCACTCAGCCAAGACGATGGCCAGAAACCAACAGCCGGTCTAGCACCGACCACCGATCACCGACCATCCGCCATCCCCAGTACAAGTTGGTCAGAGACGCCGACGCGGTTTTTTGGCGAGGGCGCCCGCCATGCTCGTTCGCCTGACTGAGTGACCGGCAGAGTGCCCACCAAGCCTACTAAGTATGGTCGGCCCCAACCCAGTCTGGTCTGGTCTCGTACTGCTGGCCGGTAGACAGGTTTTCGAACGGCACGGAACCCACGCATATGGAATATGCATACATACATAAGTATGTATGGTTTACAGATTTTTCTTCTATTTTTCCATCGTTAATGCACTTTATGCGTTCGCTTTGAAAATGCGTCCAAAGTTCCCTTTCGGCACAACCATTGACCATTAACAAACTTGTCGTCTTGCATGACTTTGGCGTGCGGTAGTGAAATCTTTTTGAGAATTTGTGCATACCTACATAGAAGCGATTGGGGGACGAAGAAACTAACGGTAGTTAGTTAGTTACAGATTTAAAATAAAAACTTAGAAATCCATAAAGTTATTAGCGAAACAATTTCACTCCGGTACTATGCCCACAAACTGCAGCATCAAGTTCTCTTCTCTCTTCTTCTTCCTTTTCCTTCTGCTTGAGGCGCATATACCTCAGTAGGTGCAGGGTCGGGTCTGTCGGGCCTGCTCGACTGTAGACTTTCTCTCTTGTTTAACGGATAGGAATAGTAATAGTACTGCACTTTTAGACGACTTTTTTGAAAAATGTTCGTCAAAAGTAGCTGTTCTACAAGTAACTATCTTTCTTGCATGCACTTTTACTTTTCTTTTCAAAAATCCAGCTACGATAACTAGGAGTTTACCGCATTTAAGAATATTAAGAATTTTGTTGCTGCTTTTGGTGACGGAGAAGTTTTTGAAGGGACATGCGGATGCATAAGAAATGATCTTTGTGAATTTGATGGTAGAGACACAATTACCGTGA